GGTCAGAACCAGGGAGGGGCTTAGGGCATTCAGATCTTAGTTTCACTAGGCCACTAAAATGCTAACCAGGAGCCCCAGTCAGGAATCCAATGGACTGGCTGCCCAGGGCTCCCCAGGGACAGCCACAGCAGCAAGACTAATTCAAAGCACACCTGCCAGTGTGATCTCCCCCTTCCTTAGGACCAGCTTGGGAACTGGGCGGGAAAGGAGTCACAGAGAAAGAGCCTCAGCACGTGCAACAAAGGGCCTGGGGGAATCCAGGGATGGCTGGGGGACCGAGTCAGGAGAAAATCCACACTGGGGATCCCAGGACAAGAGACTGTCTCACCCTGTCAAGAGGGCTTCCACTATTGTGAGTCAATTTCTGGTAGAAAATTACCAGCTGGAAAAAGAGTAGGGAGGATGAGATAAACCATCTGGCTTCATGAAGCCGGAGCAGCTGGGCTAAAGAAGCCAAGTCAGATAGATAGAGGATAGCAGAAACTGCAAATGTCATGGGAAAGAAGCAGGGTCTAGAGAGCTGGGCTGCCCTATATAGCAGCTGCCGCCCTCATGTGACTATAGAAATTTAATTAGAATAAATAGAATTAAAAAATCAATTCCTCAGCTGCAGTAGCCACATTTCAGGTGCTCCATAGGCACAGGAGGCTGGTGACTATTTTATAGGCAGTGCATATGGAACATTTTCATTATTGCAGAAAGTTCCCTGTGACAGTGCTGCTCCAGAGGCCTCACTTCCTCCCTTAGGTTTGAAATGCCTTCGGGCCCTCATTTGTCCTGCAACATGAAAGTGAGCCCAGAGGCTTCTGTTGCTCTTATTCAAGAAGCTGGGGGCCTGGAGGGTCAATGAATGTTTTTGCTTTGGTTCCATTCACCTCTCTGGGCTAGTCTCAAGCTGGGAGAAAGTTGAAAAGGGAGGCCAAGGCTTTGATGACAGAGAGCTGCCAGGGTCAAATCCCCTCCAGTGTCCGACCCTTGGGGATGTAGGAACTAAGAGGCAGTGAGAACTGGGTGCTCTCTGAGCAGGAAGCAGCCAAGGGGAAGGAGGGACCTCTCAAAAGTCGCAGTCTCTGCCTGTTCACCCCACCTTGATCCACGGGCAGACTGATGGGGAGGAGGAGCGCAAGTGGGAGGCTTCTAATTGGGCGAGCTCCTCCTTTCCTGGGCAGACCGATTTCCTCTGCAGCTCCCCGCCTCCTCGTTCTTGCTGAGTCATTGTCAACAGCAAATTCCAGGCAACTAAGTCACATCATCACTCCCTCTGGTACTAAAACCTGTGCCGACAGTGGAGTGTCTGTGACTGGCACCACTTCCTGAACCGGGGTCCTGCCTCGCCCTCCCTGTGATGTCAGAGCTGGGCTGAAGTCTTGGGACCACCTGGGGCCATCCTATTGACCATAAGGGACTTGTTGGATGGCTCTCTTTTCTCCCCATTCTCACCTTGGGTAAAGGTCAATGTGGAATTTTAATTGGGATTGTATTGTCTATGGATCAGTTTGAAGAGAAATGACAACTTTATAATATTGAGTTTTCCAGTTCATGAACATGATATGTTTTTCCATTTGCTAAGTTTTCTTTAATGCCTCTCTATGATATTTTATAGTTTTCTCTGTAGAGATTTGAGACTTTTTTGTTAGAATTATTCCTAGGCATTGGATATTTTTCAGTGTGTATCATAAAGTGTATCTCAAAAATATTTTTCCATCTTTTCTGATAAATTTCAGTTCATTAGAAGAAGATAATCCAGCTATTTAGTTATTTTCAGTCCAGTCTAACCAAAAGTTTGTCATGCTGATCAACTTGATCTTGCACAATCATGTAGGACCCAGGTGCTATCTGCTTATCTTCAAGGTAGGTGTTCAAATCAATTCTGCTATCATCTATTCCACTCTTTCAGACATCACCACAGATCTCTGAGGTTTTTCTGGGGGGCTTAATTTCTCTAAACTGGTTTATATTCACTCATAATTTTTGTGTGTGTTTGGAACAGAGTGTGAGTTTAAGGAGTGGGGCAGTTGAATTTGGGGCAGGGACTTACTTGAGTAAATTCATTTTCCATAAAGTGGTGAGAACAGATAGAAATGAACTTGAGAACGCCAGTCACCATGAAGACAATGAAAGAATAAAGTAAGAGTACAAATTGACCAACCGATTGAGCAGCCAACTGACCGACCAATCAACCAGCCAATCACAGAGACAAAAGAGATATAGATGAAAAGTCGAACAGGGACAACTTTAGATAACTTGTCTTTGTCTGTGACTAATGTCAATGAATCTTCAACATCCTTGCTGCCTAACTGTCCTTTTACAGCTAATGCTTCCAAGTGCAAACCCACTCATACCACACCAACAATCATGCCAATGAACAAAATGGTGCCGACAGAATCCCAGTTAATGGGGAGATATGAGAGCTGTTCTGTATTTTAGGTCACTGTTAGAAGCCCTGGTTCTTGGGCCAGATTCAGCTACATATTTCTACCAGAGTTTCAAATAGTTTCTGGTTTGGTTTTCTGTCTGGAAGTTTTAGGGATGCTTTTCCTGGAGTCTATTCCTTAATTAAGAACACAGCTGAATGAGAATCCAGGGAGCCCTGCTCTTCCCAACACTCCTCCCAACTGGGTAACCTCCTTCGGCCAGCCAGTGACCTTCACCCCTCTATTGCCGGAAGTCTCTTTCTAGGTATTCACAGAAAAGCTCCACTTTCCTTTCTCTTTACACCACAGACTGACCCTGGTGGGTGGAATGCAAATGGCCCCAGGATGGCCCTCTTCCTGCTTTGGGAAGAGTCTCTCTTCTTTTATCCATCTCCTTATGCTAGAAAACTACGGACTGAGGAAAGTAGGAGGCACTTTATGGTTTAGACTACCACAACTGGCTACTGCCTGGGAAACTGGCTTATTCCTAGAGCTGCAGGATTTAGGGAGAGTGTCTTTCAGGTGGAGGCCCCTGCAGGTGTCAGTTTCATTTGCTTCTTAGGGCAGGTTTGCTCCAAACATCTCCTGTGCTCATGAAACACGACTCAGGAAGTCCCCTGCAGGGCTCTGCAGACTGCATCAGACATCATCAGAAACACATCTGAGTCAGTTGTGAAATGACTCAAAGCTTTGAAACATTTAAACCATATGTCTTATGGAACTAGGTGAAAATGATGCCAGTTTCCCTGTTAGAGGTTGCCATCTGAAATTGAAGCTCAACTTGGCAATGACCCTGCATTCCTAGCCTCTCCCGGTCATGTGGTGGCTGTGAATCTGTCAGCACTCCTGGGCCATGTGGCTTGTAATAGGACCATTGGTGGGCAGAGGGACTACGGGCCCTACAGTGGTGGCCAGGAACATTCAGTGGTTTCTCTAGGTCAGAACAAAACTTATGCCCCTAAATGGGACTGGGTTTGGAAGGGAAAGTGAAAATAGTATATTTGCTGCCCTGCAGGATGTAGGAAAACCCCATTTTTATCACCAAATGATGTTTATTAGGAGTCTTATCCTCTGAAAATTAGCCAAGATCCCTAGGCACTTTTTGAGTGAGAGGAAGAACTAGCACTATAAGAATACTGTTTGTCCTATCTTTGAACTCCATCAAAGGTTGTTTCCCTCTTTCTGAAAAGTACCCAGCAGAACACTTGATGTGGAAAGGTGTTAACAGCTCAGTGTGGTGGAAATTATATTGACTGCAAAGTCAGAGTTGTTTAATTCTATTCCCAGTTCTGCCACTTAATAGTGGCGTAATTAATATTACACTTAATTGCTCTGAGCTTCACTTCCCTCTTCCCTAAAATGGGGTGCTAATACCTATCTTAGAGGGGTGTTTTGAGAATTACATGCAACGAGGTATGTGCAGCACATGGTAGGTTATCAAGAAATGTTAGCTGAATATTAATTCAAAGAAGATCATGGATAGCTTGTTAATGAACATGGATCCAACAGCCAAGGAGCACCCCCACCCCACCCTAATTAGTCCTGGGACAAGTAAAAGTTTGAATAAAAATGGAGTCCTATGGCCAAGGACTCTTCCTTCTGTTGATCTGTGTGCATCTGGGAAAACTGATAAAGGAGGGGAAGAGAAGGTTCGGAATGCTACAGAGGTTTTCTCAAGTCTGTAAGGTGCAATTCTCTTAGAACCAGCTCTTCCTTCTCATGGCTCTGCAGAGGGCGTTGTGGTAGCCAGGGGGAGCCACTGGGTTGCTATACACTTTCCCTCAGAGCTGCTGCCCTGGTTGTGACTCCCAGGTCCATGGATGGCAGTGATTCTGACCTGTCCTCAGGGCAGAAGATGGAAGGAGCTGCTCAGACCAGCCAGCTCCTCCATTATCCAGGACAATAGGGGTGGGGCTGGTTAGGGAGGTTTATCAGGGTTATCCAGATAATCCAAAGTGACAGGTAATCCAGCCTCTTTCATCTGAGGGTCTACTCTTCTCTCCCACCTTTTTTTTTCCCCCCCGGAGCTGCTTACAAGGAGCAAAGCACATACATTTGCAGGTAACTTCCCTTCCTGTACTGGAAGGTGCAAGGGAACAATGGTGTAGCTGCCCACGTGGGAAACAGGGGGCCCCTATGGGCTGAATCACTGAGACCTGAGTAAATGCAGCCCTGGTTGAGCGTTCTACACTGAGGTTGGCCTGTGCGGCTGATGAAAAGGGAGGAGGGGAGAACAGAGGCCTGAGTGGATCTGGGGGGGTGGGCCTGGAGAGGTTTGGTTTGCCGGTCTGTGGGCATAGTTTCTTCTATATTATGTACTGGGGTGGGGTAGAGACAGGGTGGGGAATGGGAGAAGAAGGACTATTGTCTGCCTCCCCTGGAAGGAGAGGCTCAGCTAGGGGAGGAATGTGCTTCCTGTACATCCCAGCCATAGTCCACCCTGGGCAGATGTAGGAGTTGGAGCATTTGTCATCAGAGAATATATGGTCCTTTATGGACCATTTCTGCCCCTCGCCCCAGCACTCCCACTCCCCTCTCCTCCATCCCTCTGGTGCCTGCAGACTGAAGTCTGTTCCCAGGACTTACCTTGGGTTTGAAGGCAATGAGCTTCAGAATCATCTCCACAGTGAAAAGACCAGTGAAGAGCATGTTGAGGATGTTCATGGCGATTTTGAACAGGCAGCTCTGCCCATAGTGCTGAGGGTGGGAGAAACTGTGAGAATGAGGCAGGGACCCCCACTCCTCACTACCCTCATCTCAACAGATATCTTCCCTAAACCTAGTTCCGGAGGGCCGTCCATGTCTCAGTGGGCAGTCCAGCAGCCTCAGAGGACCTGACAGGCTCTTCCCTTCTCTGTCATCTCTGGAAACAGAGGTCGGCAGAGTTCTATGCTCCTTCTTTGGGTTATGACAATGTTATGGAGAAACCTGGTACTCAAGAGAGCTCTAGCACGAGTAGATCTCCCTGAAGACAGGTGGATGGAGAACCAATCTCCACACGCAGCACCTCACTGACAATAACGGGCACTTCAAGCTCACCCTCTGCTTTCCATTTCCTCCACTCTCTCCATTTTCTCAACCCAGGAGACTATGGATTCTTTCTTAAGATCCCAGAGAGGAGCGCGTCCTTGAAAAGGGACACTTGTCTTCTCCATCTCGAGGAGAGGACAGTTATTCTGTTCTTTCTGCCTCCTCTGGCCACCAATAAGGTGGCAGAGCACAGACGATGTGCAGCTCTTTTACATTCCATATCCTCCCATAGCATTGTCCCCCATGCAGGGACCAGGGGTCCCCTGGACTGACCTGCATGGCCAAGCAGATGGTGTTGAGCAGGATGAGGACAAACATCAGGTACTCAAAGTAGGTGGAGTTGACCACGTACCACACTTTGTATTGGTGCTGGTTCTTGGGGATGTACCTCCTCAGGGGTCGGGCCTTGAGGGCGTACTCCACGCATTGTCGCTGGGAGGGAGGCAGAGAGGGGCAGGAATGGGGGGAGAGTGGGTTTAGTCACCTGGATGATGTATGGGCTGAGTTACCCTCAGCCTCCACACCCAGTCTCTAAGCCTGACCCATCTTACTTCCTCCTATTCTCTCCACCTTTACTATCATTAACCTGATAGTACAGGAGGGTCTAATCGTCTCTCATATACACTTTCTAACATGGCCTCCTTCTTTCTGGTCTTACTGCCAATCCAAAGTCTATACAGCAGCCAGAATGATGAGTTTAATCCTAAGACCTTGACATCAAAATCCGTGAGGGGTCCAGCTGGCTTAAATGGGGCCGAGCTGAGCGTCTGTACCATGTTCCTTCCCTAAGCAGACCTGATGTAACTCACAGACAGGAATGTATTTCCCCACGGACTCCTCCCAAGGGGGAAGCTAGCTGGGGAACTGACCTTAGTGACTGCCGCTACAGCCCACCCTAACAGCTGCATTCCTCACAGACGAGTTGCCAGCTCTTGTTCATAGGCTAACAGAACACATCACGGCACTGGGCATGACCATAGCACTCCTACTTAAGCCTCTATCCTGCCCCCACCTCATGCACAGGCCTCTGGGTTTTACTTAAGAAACCATTTAATTGTGGTTTTCTAATGCTGTGCCCTTCCCCGTCCCCCAAATTATCAAGCCCTCATTGTTCTAGTTCCTTTCCTCTTTACCAGTGGTGCTAACCCACGTCAACTTCTAGACAGGGCAGAGGATTTTCCCCAGTCTGTCACAGAGTCTCCTTAAGTAGAGGCTTAACAAATACTTGTTGGCCGAATGAAGGCATTTGCCAGGCCTGGGATTTGCACTTCTTTTGCTCAGGCTCCTCCAGCGACTGGGGCCCCTGTTCTCACTGAGGAGCAGACAGGTGATATCTCTTCTGGGGGCTGCAGACTGCCAGATGCTCTTGTTCCTCAGTGGCCGGCTTCCCCTTGCCGCCTCGTTCCTCTCCTCCCTAGGAAACTACCTGGTTCTTGTCCAGCTCACAGTTCTTGTACTCCTGCTCTCCCTGTTCCTGGAAGGTGACGATGACGAAACCCACAAAGATGTTCATCATGAAGAAGGCGATGATGATGATGTAGATGATGAAGAAGATGGAGATCTCCACGCGGTAGTTGTAGATGGGGCCCTTGTCTTCTGTGTGGGAGTCGATGGAGCGGTACAGCAGCCTGGAGGGGGAGACAGGTCCACAGAGGGAACTGGAGGAACAGGGTCACCTCTGGGGAATGGTGGCGCTGCTGCTTCCAGGAGGCCTGGGTTCAGGGGTGCTGCAAAGAGATCTAGGCTGGGAGTCAGAAGACCTGGGGTCAAGTCCCAGCTCTGCCACTTACTGGTCATGTGACCTTGGGCAAATCACTTAACCTCTTTGAGCCTCAGATTCTTCATCTGTAAAATGGAGACAATAATTCCTGACTTTCCTACCTGGCCAGGTAGTTGATATAATGTATATGAAGGTGTTTTGAAATGGCCAAGAACTATTTTAATGTAACATGAATTATGGACATTGATTTCAAATCCTGGAAATATTGGTGAAACAGCTTTGCAAACTGGCATATACTCAGAGGATATTACAGTGAACATAAAATTAATCCATCAGAGATCAAATATCCATTTAGATAAAAATACTAGGTAACAAATGACTGGGCTTATTCAGTTCAGCAACAGTTTGGACTCACACTCAGGTGATTGGCATGTGTGTGCCCTCCACAAAGCCCTCCTCTGTGCCCATGACGCTTACTCCTTCTCAGGGACAGACACCATCTCCTCACCTTCCTTTGTCACCTGACACAGTGACAAAGGTATTATCCTCTAGGTATTATCTATATTTTACCATACAACAATAGTGACTCTTGTCTAAGATCCACGTGCTACTATTGACTTAGAAATATAATATTTAGAATTTTCTGACTTTCAGATGATGATTTCACTGGAATACAAAAGGGGGAGGGAGCAGGTGTCTGTATGAAGCTATATGGAGCACCTGAAGAACAAACTGACTGGTAGGGGTGATCTAGGCATGAAAACACTACCTCTGCAGATAAAGTTGGACCCAGGCTTCCATCCCTTTCTTCCTTTCCTCAGTAAATGTAGACAAGGCTTTCTCTAAGGAGGTTGGGGTAGAGTCTAGTGAAACAGAGACATTTCCGCCATCTTCACCCACAATGAGTGCACATTGGGAGTGGTAATCTTGAATCCTCTGGTGATCCAAAGGCCCACACTGGAGAGGCTCACACCCCACTCCCAGATGCCCTGACAGAGACCCTATCATTGTGGCTCACTCTGAGATTAGGAAGAGGTGCTAAAAGAAGCTCGTTTTTGTTTAGAGTTTCTGAAATGTTGACATCTTCTAGAAAAAGTAGTCTATGTTGTAGTGGGCCGGCCGAGTAGAGCGATGGTTATGAACTGGCTTGGGACGCTGGAGGGCCCCGGTTCGGATCCCACATATGAGGGCCAGTGACACTGCCCTCCACAGCTAAGATGCTGAACAACAGCTCAACCTGGAGCTGGGCTGCTGTGAGTCGCCAGCAATGGCATAGGCTGCAGCCCCTGTGGCAGTGGGTTGCCATGGGCTACCGTGTGTAGCCAGCAGCCAGCGTGAGTGGCCAGCAGCCGCAGGGAGCGGCCGTCCAGAAGCCAATGACTGATGTGCCTCGCCCAGGAAGAGCGCAATGATGGTGCCAACTTGGGCCAGTGAAGCAACGTCCTCCACAACTAGACTGAAGAACAAAACGGCAGCAACTTGTCTGTTCCCCTTCCCCCAATTCCCCAGCACTGTTCCCATCCCCCCAATTCCCCAATAAAAATCTTTAAAAAAAAAAGAAGAGTTTATGTTGTAGTAATGATGATGGTCTACAGATTGTTCTAGAAACATGCCTTCATGGCCTGGGGAGGACACAGGTAAGTATGACCTCTGGGAAGGGGTGTGGGACAGTAATAAGACATGGGGAATGTGTCTGAGGACAATGTCTTGGCCCCTCCTATCAGGGTGACTAGGCCTTGATTTGCATACTCACTCTGGCCACCCCTCAAAGGTGGAGACAGTGAAGAGGGCCATCATGGCCGCCAGAACATTGTCAAAGTCAAACTTGCTGTTCTCCCAGCTGCGGGGCTGGATGATGGGGTGGTCAACCTCCCCGTCCTTGTAGGTGATGTAGTTACCCCTGAGAAAGGAGGGGAAAGAGTTAATTTTGGGGGTGTCTCATCTCCCTATAACTGACCCACCAATGACTCCTGGCATGCTGGGTGGATGGGACTAGTTAGGCTTAAACCCCACAGTTCTAGCCATTGGGAGGAGCCTCAGTGTATAGAACCTGTTACATATTATGTCCATGGGACCAGATTATACACTGGTAGAAGTCCAGCTGCCACTGGTGTCTGAGGAAGAATGGGCTGTCCCTCCTCTCATGCTGAGTGACCAACCCCTGAGTTAACCAGCCTTGGCAATGGCTGTCTGCCAGCCTGTACTTACTTGCATTCTGCCTCAGTCTGCTTGGAACTATCTGAACAGGTGTAGAGCTTTCCCTGGAAGGCAGAAGAACAAAGTGATTGGAGATGTTCATTGTAGTCAATGTATCAATCAAAAGTGGTCATCTCTATAGCCCAGCACTGTCTAAGGACTTGGGACAAAAAGTGCAAGAAGACCAGAATCCAGGTGGGGAAGACCTGATGCACATATATAAAGCAGTCAGTGTCTCGAGTGCCATTGGAATTCAAAAAAAGGGAGCTCCAATCCATGAGCACTGTGCTTGTTAGGAAGGTCTCGTGAGGAAGGCAGAAGTGGAACTGGGCTTGGAGGGACGAATTAGGTGAAAGGAAACAAGTGAAAGTTTATCTGGTGGGTGGGAGAGAGCTGGGGGAAGACTGCTTCAGATGGGAGGATAGCAGAAATGAACAGATTAAGGCAGAAAAGAGCGGAAACCAAGGACGCCGCCCTCCCTGTAGCGGAGGGGTCTTGTCAGAAGCACTGAAAGAACATGAGCAGATGCAGGGTTCTAGAGTTGGGTGTGCAAGGGTGGCCTTGATGCTGCTGATAACAGGGATAGGTGCCTGGCACGGAGGTTTTGGGCCATAGGAGGCCCTCTCCCCTTCTTGTCAGAAGGAAGGGCAGGACCTGAAGCACAGGCAGTGTGAAAGGGAGAGGGGTCTTCGCTGCGGGGGTAATGCCTCCTGCCAAGCCTGTCCCTTTTCTGGTCTGGGAAGCTGAGCAGGGCTGTGGTGACCTTCATGCCAGGTCTGACCAGGCCACCATCTTCTTTTTGTTGTATTTGCCAGGTCCCTTTCCTGGGCATGCTGATAGGAGGAGAAGGAAGAGCCAAAATGAATCAGAGCCGAGGCTGTACCTTGAAGAGCTGGACCCCGATGCAGGCGAACATGAACTGAAGCAGCGTGGTGACAATCACGATGTTGCCGATGGTCCGGATGGCGACAAACACACACTGAACCACGTGCTGCCGTGGGAGAGAAGGCCGGAGTGGGTGTGGCTTCAGGAAGAGGCTGCAGCCTGAGCTCTCTTTAGCCAAGCCACGGACCTCTTTGGGAGGCGGCATGGGCAGCCCCCTTACCATGGTGGGAAATCACTCAGAAAGGCGGAGCACCTTCCCATGGTCACATGGTGCTGGAACTCAGTGGAGCTCAAGGGCTCTCATTGGACTGTAGGTAGCTACAGGGACAAAAGCCCTGCCAACTTCCCATTTTATAGGGGTCGGAAATAGGGACCTCATTGCCATTGGGGGCACCAGTTAGTGTTGGGTCTCCGTTTTGCAAAAGTTTTGCTTAGGAGTTCGGATTCTGAGTGGCTGCCTCTGATTGTGTTCCTGAAATTGAACTGGAGGTGCAGGCAGGAGAGTCCAGGCTCCAACACAGGAGCCATTATCTCCTCCCTCGGGCCCACCCTCACTTCAGCTTAGCTCCACCTCCACAGGCTGACTGATGCTTCCTGCCGGCTCACCCTTCTCACCTTCAGTCCCTTGGCTCTGTTGATGGCCCTCAGAGGCCTGAGTACTCGCAGAACTCGCAAGATCTTTACTACGTTGATTGCACTGGACCTGAGAAAGAGAAGCACGGCAGGGGAGTGAGCTTCTCCTGTGTTTGCAAAAGCAGGAAATACTGTGGTGAGGGGGTGTCCTGGCAGGCTAAGCCCAGGCAAACTTGTGAAAATGTGAAATCTGTTTGGGGGGCTTTCTTGTCCTGGGACCATTCTCTACTCCCATCTCCCACCCCATGAGGACCTGAAGCTTTCCTGTGACCCAGCTTTCCTGTGGGTGAGTAAATAATATGAAAAGCAACTCACCAGGATTCATCAGCAAAATAATGTGCTACTCAAGGGCACTTACAGTGTCAGAGACAGATTTAGATGTGGCAAACCTGAATGCAAGCCCAGCTGCCACTTCCCAGCCAAGTCACTGAGGATAAGTTTCCTAACTTTTCTGAGCCCTAGTTTCTTCATCTGTAATATTGGATAGTAATCACTTCATGAGGTTGTTGCAAGGGTTGAATAAAAAACATACGTGAATCATCTAGCAGTGTGCTTGGCACATATTATGAACTGAATAAATGGCAGCTTATATTATTGTGCCTGATGGAGACATCACTGAACTTGAAGAAATACTACACAAATGGTAGGACTTCGGGTCTGTGGCTGGAGGTAGTGGGCACAAGGAGGAGATATTTTGGTGCTCATCTCTAAGCATGTGTCCTAGGTAGTTGCCCATTATGCTTATATGTAAAACGCTGTCTGGTTCATAGCACAGTCAGGACTTGAAGAAATGGATTCTACACAACACGTTCCACACACCTAGGATGCCAGGGCCAAAGCAGAACTTCTGGGAGCCTCAGGCCACTGTTGTTCCCTAGTGGAGAGGAGGCACTAGAGCACAGGTCCCCCACAGCCCCCTTGGCAGGAAGCGTTATCCATCTGCCCAGGTGGGCTTACTCACCATGCCAAGTTGGGGAGCAGTTCTGAAGTGCATCCTAACACTCACACGCTAATCATCTGAGTGAGATAAGCTTTTCTAGCTTTTGAAGAGCCTCATACCCACCTTGGGACCTAAAAAATGTATGACACATCAGCAAGGCTGATTTCATTGTTCACGTGATCAGGATGGTGTGCTGAAGAGGGAGCTCATAGAAAGATCTGACTTCTCTGGTTCCTGGCTCTTTTATTCCAAAGGATTCAAAGGGCATTCCTATCTATCTGGGTATCTCAGGGAGGGAGTCTGTTTGCACTGGATCACAGTGGAAGGGATTTCAAGGTCAGGTGGGGAAAGCATAGACTGAAGAAGGGTTAAAGGTTAAATAATGATTTAGTGGCAGCACTGGGATTAGAATCTAGACCTGTAGGCTTGCAGGCAGACAGTTGTGGGTCATGTAACTGATGACCATAGGAAAGTCTCACTCCTTACACCCCATCTTCTTCACACTTTCTAGGCTGACCATGAAAACACCCTTGGGAGGGGAGGCCCAGGGCCCTTTTCTCTGCCATTGGTGTGACCTTGGGAAAGTCCCATAATGTCCTGACCTCAGTTTTTCTATCTGTAAACTGGGGATAAGAGCACTTGCCCTGCCTACCTCATGGGTTTTGTGAAGACCACAGAAAATTGTGAAATTGCTCTAAAGTGCAAGTGTAGGGTTAATACTACCAGCTGATAGAACTTGGGAGAAACTAGTAGTCAGATGCTTTTAAACCTGAGCAAACTTGCAACCTTGGTTGCACTCATACTGTGGAATCACTTGGAGAGCTTTTAAAAGTCCTAAAGCCCAGGCTGTACCCCAGACCAATTAAATAAAAATCTGAGGCAAATGTCTTTTGAAAAACTATTCAGGTGATTCCATTGTGCAGCCAAGCCAAGATTGAAAATAACTATCTCTCTCCCTCCCTCCCTCCCTCCCTCCCTGGTCTCTCCCTCCCGTGGTCACCCATCAGGTGCTTTGACTGGACAGAGAGGCGAAAGAAAGGGAGGGCAGATGGACCACACATCAGGGCAGGTGATGGCAATGGCAGGTCCTTGGAGCTGAGGGCAGCAAGGACACTGGGCACAGGGTGGAGGGGGTAGGAAGGCCCTGGGGACATTCTTCTCATTATAACTGGGCCTGGCCCTGCCTGTCAAGGCAAGATCCAGACATTTAAACATGTTCTTGCTGGATCAACATACACCAATTGTCACACCACTGAGGACACGGGCACAAGCAATCAAAGCTGCATGTTGTACAAGTTAGAGGCCTCCCGTCCATTCCCATCACAGGTCCATGGGTGGGGTGCAGGAGGACCCCCCAGAGTATTTATGTCCTCTCTGACACCCATTCCAAGTTGCATGCCCCATCGTGGCTGACGGAGCCCTACTCACTGGATGCCGAAGGAGATGAGGGACACGCTGACCACTAGCAGGTCCAAAATGTTGAAGTAGTTCCGGCAAAAGGAGCCCTTGTGCAAGAAAGCCCCATAAGCAGTCATCTGCAGGGAGGCACATAGACACCAGCGTGAGTTGCCCCTGTCCAAGCCTGAGACCCCTTCACCCCACCCTTTCCTCCCATAGCACGCCTTGGGCTGGGCCCCTGAAAAGCAGTGAGGTGACAGAGGGCTGGTGGCAGGCAGGACTGAAGAAGGAGATACAGTGCCAAGATAAGGGTTCTGCAACTGTTGATAACCACTAAAGACTCCTCAGCTCAGGATGTATCGGTGGCTCCTTTACTTACCAGGCAACTCCAGACTTTTCAATCCTATATTTGAACCCCTTTCCAATTAGGCTGCCATCCCATCATTTCCCACCACTCCTCATCACATATCCATGGCTCCAGCCTTGAGGAGTCCTTAGCTGATGCTACCCTGATCAGGTTTCCCAACCTACTCTCCAAATTCTGTCTACCTCAGGGCCAGCTTAGGACACTAGACATGTGGGGGAAAATGGGGCATGCCCGGGAGGCTCACAACCATCCTGGTTCCCCAGTTCATTTCTGAAAGCCCCGCAGTGTCAGGAAAACTGGGCCAGGTGTTCCTATAATGCTCAGGAAGAAGTTCTACCAATAACTCTGGCAGTTAGCATCTCTCCACGTCCTAGCCTCAGGTGGTGCTATGGTCTGTGCCAAATATCCTAAATGCACTGTCTTGCTTCTAGACGGCAGGCGGTTTAGAGGCCAGAGCTGTGTGTTCAGAGGGGTTTGCACTGCGTGTGAAAGAGCACAGACCTGGACCTGGCTGTTGGAGTTTGAACCCCAACCCTGTTCTATTTTTTGTGTGGGCCCTGGGCAAATTACGTAACTTCTCTGCATTTTGGTTTCCTCATCTGAGAAATGGATTATGAAAATATCTACCCCATAGGGCTGTGAGCGTCAGTTGCGTTATTACATGTAAAACAGATAGAAAACTATCCTGCTGGTACTGAGTGCCATGTGAGTGTTGGGCCAGATAGCTTGAATTTGGATTCTGGGTTCTTCCTGCATGAGTAAGTTCCATTCCTCACCTATAGAGTGGGCACATTATTCCCTGGCTTTCTGAGGCATGTACAGAAAGCCATGTGACAGCCCTTGGACGATGAGCACTGTTACAGGACTTGGCTATTTGCCTCCCTCAGAGTTCGGGATAAAGCCAAGTAGACGCTCGACAAATAGCCTTTCCAATTTTGTTGACTTGAATTAAGGTTGATGGGTTTCCAGGTTAAGGGTTGTGAAAGGCCATGGGTCACAAAACGTCAGCAAAAGAGAAAAATTGGAAGTGGGTGGATGAGAGAGAGAGCAGCATCCTGGTCACCCGGGGTCCAGTTTATCTCTTTGGAATCAGAGCATGCCCAGGGCAACATGTCTGCAGAGCAATTCAAAAGAAAACACAGGGGAAATTGGCAAAAATAGCTCTTGCAACCTAATTCTTTCCATTTATCTCTTGCCACAGGGGCTCACAGGGGACTCAGGCACCTGTGTCCTGCAATAGTTTCTAGAAGTGGGTATATTATATAACAGGTTTCAGGGGAACATAGCTGACGATCTCTCCGGATGCCCGCCTTCTGCCCTGTCTCTCAGTGAAGATTCAGGACCCCAGAGAGTGGACTGAGTGGCTCCCATGGTCCATGTCAACCAGAGTGCCTCTGTACCTGCTCAAGACCAAGCACCTTCCCTAGACATCCCACTGTTCTCTTAAAGAAGGGGCTGAGTCTGCTCCTGCCTCGCTCCTGGCTTGAATATTGTGAGGGTGCTACTGAGCCCCAACAGAGCCACCTGTATTCAGGGAAAAACATTCTATTAAGTGGGCTAATGGGGCTCAGAGCACCAACTTCTGTCCTTTGATTTAGCTTGGGGAAAGTGTGCGTGTGTGTGTGTGTGTGTGTGTGTGTGTGTGTGTGTGTGTGTGTGTGTGTAGGGGGCACATGCCGAGGCAGGGCCAGAGGAAGGGTGGCTGTAAGAGAAAGGGCAAATGGATGCTGAAAAATGGAGCATTTATTTGAAAATTACTGGTAGCATTCAGGGCATCTAAAAAGGCCAGGTTCAGGTACCCAGAGTGAAGTCCTTCCTTCACTCTGCTTTGCTGATTGCTGCCCACCCAGTTCCTGCTTCCTGAAAGTTCTAAGCCATTGCCCAGGAAAGCCTACTGCTGGGGTATTTTCAGCCTGGGGAGAGGAAAAGAGTGGGACATAGGGTCCATGACTCTGAGTTGGAAGGGCAGGAATGCCCCTCTGTCCAGCTATGGGTGGCCACCACTTTTTTAGGCAGCAATTCTAGCTATTAAATACGTCTTATCTTTTGTAATTTCCACTCATTGGTCCTGGCTCCACCTCTTCCCTCGTCTGTGTGACAGGCCTTTGCATCATTCAGGTTTACTGCTGTCCTACAGGCCTTTTCTCTTTAAGGCCAGATATTCCCAAGCCTATCACCTGCTCCTGATACTAAATGCCCCTCTTGGGTGACTGTCACGGTCTGTACTGTGGCAGGACACAGGCCTCCAGGCCAGGCCGGACCCCGTGGGAAGGAGGTGCAGGGAAGTGACTGGGGTTGGGGTTTATATTGAGAAGCACACTGAGAATAAGGGAGTGGCAGAGGGAGAGGGTGGGAGGGTGGGAAGGATCTTGTCATGACAATGTTCGTAAAGAGACTTTTTGTCTGCTTGTTTGGCAGTCTTGAAGGGAAAACAGCACCACTGAAATCCACAGGAAGGCTCTGTAGAGGGGTGTTGAGAATTGGGTCTCAAAGATTTTTTTTTTTGTCCCAGGGAAGAATTTTGGGTGTTTGTGTGTCTCCCAGAGTCTGAATCTGGGAAAAATCTGCTCACCCTGGAAAGGGGGTTTTACAGCAGTGCATCCTAATGCAGCCAGGCAGCTCTTGAGGCCCTCTCCCTACCCGCCGGGGCGGGCCTGGCCAGATCTGCTCCCTCTGAGCAGACCAAACACCTGAGAAGCACTCTTGTTAGCTGGAACCTGGGACAGAAGCTGGGGGTCTGGGTACAGAAAGGCACATAAAGCTGCCCCACTGAAATTGTATGGGGAGGTGACAGAACTGTCATGTACATGAAAGGGTCGGGCCATGACTTGGGAGTTCCATCAGAAAAAGAAGGGTCTGGGGCTGGCTGCGGTGCATGGGCGGTGTGGACCCTGGCTAGTATCAGCCACCTGAAGGGGTGAAAAGGGAGCCTGGACTCCTTGGAGGAGCATCCCAGTCAAGTGTCTCAGGAAGAAGATACCAAGCTGAAACACGTGCTTCACAGCTTTTGACCTTTCTGTGTGGGGTAAAAATAAAATCCACCCCCTCATTCTGAGAGAGAACAAATGCTGAATGCACTTTTCCCAGGTCTCAGAACCCACACCCTACACCTCAGATGAACTGGCTTGGCGATGTATTGGTTTAGAGGCTCAGAGCATACTGGAAAAACTTATACATTATAATAAAATAAATGTAAGGCATACATTAGATATTTGTATAAATAATAAGATAAAACTTAGAAAAAAAATCTGTCATCCTAATGCTGTTTGGAGTTGGGCTCTGCCGTTTCAGGACAGCAGAGCTGTAGCAGTTCCATAAATGGCAGTGTCTGCACGTGGAGCTGCCAGCAGCAAGTGGGGCTAGTCTGTGCACTCAAGCCCAGGGCTTAGGGCCTGGGGGCTCCAGAGTCTTTCTCACCTCCCTGGACTTAGCTCTCCAATATAATTCTCCCTCTTCCATGCCCGGGACAAGGGGCATTGTTACAAAGCTTTTTAGCAGGTAACTGGGGGTCCAGAAGTTATCTAGGGTTGTCTGTCAAGAGCCTTCTGTTGGGAGGCTGGCTCCAAATCTTACGTTAGGCCCACGGTTACTACCGCACAGGCCCCACTCCAGCTTAGCCCTGATGTCGGCAGCAACTACTGAGGAAGGAGTAAACAGGCATCAAAGGGGTAGCCAAGGTGACTCTTTCCTGGTCCTTGAGCTCCTCCACCTTTGGAGTTTGTGCGGCATCTCCTTTGGGCAGAAGGAGGGAAGGAGAGTTCTAAGCAGGGGCCAGTCATTGATTGCCCAGAGATGATGTGTGTGTGTGTGTGTGTGTGTGTGTATGTGTGTGTGCGCGCACGCGCACGCATGTGTGTGTGGTGTGGTGTGTGTGGGGGGTGGGGACTGGGGTGTGTGTGTGTGTGTTGGGGGTACCGCTGACTGCACAGGGCTAGACCTGGGGACAGCACAGCATCAGTGCTGACATTAGCAGCCAAATGCCTCTTCCAGGATGAGAGGAGGCAGGTGCCAGGTTGGGGGTGGGTTTTCTTCTGGCTTCTGAACCTGAGCAAAATGGTAGCATGAAGTAAGGGGCAATAATTCTTTCAATTTCAGGCTTGAGAGTAAAAAAAGAAAGCATGAAAGAAATAAGAGATAAAAGAGACAGGCAGACAAGGCAGAGATAGAGAAAGAGGCAGAGAGAATGCACTACTCAGACTGCATTACCTTAAGGATAATTTCTAATGTAAAGATACTAGTGAAGACATAGTCTGCATTGCCTAGGATCTGAAAAATAAGCACAATTTGATTAGTGGCTCAGAGAGAACCGGACACCAACAAGAGCATGTGTTAGCGACAGACGGCAGCAGAGCTAGAGCGGCAGGAGGAGGACAGGAGGGGATGGGGGGTGTTGGTTTACCTTCAGAGCAATTTCGGTGGTGAAAATGGTAGTAAAAACAATATCAAAATAAAACAGAATCTGCAAAACAAAGAGAAACGGAGTGGGGGTGGGGAGGGGAAGGGAGAAAGCAGCGATGTTCACCAGAAAAGGAATCACACTTCAAACCCACAGTACATGCCACTTGAGCCTTTCCACGTGAAGAGAGATGGCAAGGAGTCAGGAGACGAGTGGCACATACACAGCACTGCACCTGAAGCGGCTGGCCTCAGGCAGCTTAGTGGCTCTGGATGAAGTCCCCAGATGGCGAGGGGAGCTTCCAGGGCAGGCCTCAGCCAGTCCTGGTCCATCAGCATCTGGTTTGATGCTTTCCTCATTAATCCAGTACTTACAAACCCAAATCAGACCAGGGGGCTAGATATTTGTCAAAAGGACAGAGAGTAAAGTTTTTTTTTTTCCTGCAGGAAGATGCAAAGTGCTAAACCGACATGGGTGTGACTCAGCTAGCTTCCCAGTTGGTGGAAATCTACACTAGTAAGTGTCCTTTGGGTCACAGGAGAGTGTATCCTCCAGGGGAGGCCTCCCAGCCTGGGGGAAGGCTGCATGGTTTCATGTTTTATTATATCTTAGGTGAGTGGGCCAGAGCTAAGGCCAATAACTTTCTTAGTAAGAAAGCTCTGGATCAAGCAGGACCACTGAGTGGTTATATGGCTGTGTCTTTAGATCAGAAGGCTCCTCTCTCCATGACCACCTGGTTAGGATTTAAACAAGTTTGGAAGCTTTGAGATAATAGCAATTCTTATTCTAGCTTTTAATGTTCCCTGGAGCCTTGGTTCACTGGAGCCATATAGTTTTCTACTCTACAGAAGCTCTCCTTTACATGAGGGTGCCTTAGCAATGGGCACCTATTTACCAATGCTCCCTCTCTCCCTAATGATTAGGACTGGCCAGAGCATACTGGGAGCCAGGTAGGGAGTCAGGGGTTAGTCTTTCACTAAGTTTACAGGCAACCAGAGTTTTCTGGGTGCGTCCACAGGGCAGTGAAGGTCCTGACCCCTGTCAATCAGGCCAGCCTGAGGCATTTGGGTACCTGTTCTTTTACTTGCTTGTTGTGGTCCTTAGGTGGCTTTTAGCAAAGCCCTAATCTCTTAAAGAAATGTTTATTGTGCACTTGACTATGGGAGTTGGAATTGGGCTCCTGACTGAACAATGAGCTCAGCAGCAGAAGCTGAGGGGCCAGTCACATTCCTGGGAGGAAGGGGTGCGGAGAACAGAGGGGATGCGTACATGGTTCCTGAAGGACGTGTGCTGGACGGGGTCCTCAGCAGCCAGGGAAATGCTGCTGAGCAGAATGAAGAAGAGGATCAGGTTGGTGAAGATGGTGTCATTGACAATGCGGTGGCACTGGAGGCGAAACCTGCATGGGGAGGAGGAGTAAAGGAGAAGCACGTCAGCAGGAAAAGGGAGGCAGCCCGGGGCTCTGGACCCCGCCTCCTTCTCTCACGTACTGAGGTGCCTGTGGGTTTGGGAAGTGGGCTCTTCGTCCTGCAGTCTTACTGCTGCTGGGTAATGACAACCACGAGCCCCACCCCAACCACGAGGCACATCCACACAGAACTTTGCAGTTCTAAAGCACTTTTGCTGACAGAAAACTTTTGATGTTTTAGAGCATTACATCTGAGACCTTTGGGATTCTCTAAATTTTAAAATATTGCTGTGACATTAACAACTGGATTTTGTTGGGAGACCCCTCTTCCCCATCACTAAAAAACCCATTTTTGAGATCTGCTTTATATTTTAATGTATAGAGAACAACAGAGCCATGCAGAGATGTGAATCCTGTGAGGCTGGCTGAACCTACACTCTGCTGAGGTGGTTTCCTCCTGTGTGATAGCTTCAAGGTGTGCAATTCAATTCCACACCTCAGCATAATTACAAATAAGCACACACGTGGACCTCTGGGCACTCACAGATAATACCACAAACACTATATCCTTGAATGCCAAGGGTGTCTTATATACTATCTCACCTTGACCGCTTAGGAAGGGGATATGGTTGATATCATCATCTTCATTTTATAAATAAAAACAATAAAACCCAGGGAGGAGAAGCTTGCCCAGAAACACAGCCTGTAGAGTAAAAGGGTGAGGGCTTGACCCCAGGCCTTCAGACCTCTGCTCCTGGCATTGTGGTTGACTAAATGCTCTGAAAGACCTTACTGTTGCAGAAGCACCAAATCCTGGAAAGGACAAGTTCTTCAAGACAATTGTGGTTTCATAAGAATTAGGAGAAGTCTGCAATGATCATCACAAACAAACAAACAAACAAACAAACAAACAAACAAACAAACAAACATATCCTCTGATCTGGGGTCTGTGTGACAGGTAGCCAGGAAGGGCAGAGTTGCCTAAGGATAGATGTCAGTAGCAGCAGCAGTGCTATCAGGAAATTACATTCCAAGCCAGTCTTGAGGTGGGGCAGGGAAGCCTGGCACTCTAAGTTGAGCCTGCGCCCCAAGAAGCATCTGGACAAAAGCTTCCTCAAAAATAAGTTAGGCCCTGAGCAGCCGTCCAGAAGCCGGCGACTGATCTGCCTCGCCTGGGAAGAGCGCAATGATGGTGCCAACTTGGGCCAGTGAAGCAAC